ACAGGATTTTCCCAATGTCTTAAAGATTTTGCAATGCCTTAGACAATTTATCTGTTAAGATTATCTCATCCAAACCTGAAAGGTTCCTGAGGACATGTCATTCACCACGGTTATAAGTACATTCATGAAAAGAGCCCGAATTCTAGAAATTTTGTTGGAACTCTTACCTGCAAATAAAAATTAAATTAGGAACTCTATTGAACTGGCATTCATACAAGCATTAGAAAGGACATGACCCCAGGCTGGCAGAAATCAAGAATAGCACTTAATCAGCAAACTGATTTGCTAATGGACATTCATCAGAATAATCCAATTCAACGGAGCTCTTCAGCATTGACTAATTCATGATGGTACTGTAGTGCTGATGTATAGGAGGGTCCACTAAACAAAGTCATACTTGATGTAGATTGGGAGAAAAATTCTAGACCTTGTGAATATATATGACTAGAATACTAGAACATCGTGAATAGTGATGGATCCTTCATCATCCCCAAACTTGAGTCACTTCAGTGACCGTGAAGTCCTTGAATGTAGGGCAGATTGGTCTCCCATTAGGTACCACGTTACACTGCCAAAAGCATACAGTGATAATCTTCTTCCCAGAGTTTTCAGAGATTCATGGACATTGGCTCTAAACTGGCAATACCCCTAGACCACCACGAGCATTATATAATCAATGAAACTTTGTCTGTTCATAGTTTCTTCTAAAAAATCTACGGGCATTTAGGAATCATTATTTCTTCAGAGAAAGCCACAGAAAATTTATTTAAGATAAAATTGTTGAGACCCATCTCAATCTGGGAAACAAAACCAGACTTCCTGAACCAAGAGACTCAAAAGTTCCCAACAAAATAATATCAGACTGACACATTCCAAGACCTATTATACTTAAACTGTTCAAAAGCAATGTCAAGACCAGAACAGCAGAAGCACTGAGAGAAAGAACAGCAACCTGTAAGGGAACACTGATTGCACTATCTGTGGACTTTTCAATGGAAATCTTATGAGTAAGAAGGGATACCAGTAGGAGATAGTTAAATTGCTCAAAAAAGAAAAAAAGGGGGGGGGCGGGAGGAGAATTTCCAGTCTAGAATACCATATCTGCCTGATTATACACCAAGCCAGACTTGAAGGACACTAATGTTGTGAGGTAACAACAATAACCTGCCCCTCCAAAAAAATACAGAGATAACAGACATCTAAATTACCCAATGTGGAGGAGCAGGAGAGTGCAAATTAACGTAAGAAGGAATGACAAAGACCAGAGGACTCAAAACAAAACAAAACACAACGGCCACAAATAAACGAAGTGAGGTTTCTGAATTTGGGGAGAGAGGAAAAACCAAACGGGTACCTGGAACGAGGGTGGAACAAGAATTACTTGCATAAGCATAGTTAAAAAAAAGAAGAAGAACTTGGTGCCACTAAGACATGTCGAAACACTAAGGGGCTTTAACAATTTTATTTATTTATTTTAACAATTTTAAACTGCCAACATAGCTATATCGCGCCAACTGATCTATATAGATGATTTTAATAAAGTAGTTAAGAGTAGTTGAGTGGTATTTTGAAAAAAGCATTCTACAAAGCAAAAGGGAATTATTCTTAAGGTCTTGAATCTAGCCATGTCATATGCAAAAACATTGTTTCCTTGTGAGTAATGCATCCTTTGTTTCTGGTCGCTTTCAATATTTTTTCCTTTGCTTTAGTTCTTAGAAACTTGATTATAATTGGCCTGGTTATACACATTTTTGAGTCTGAAGAAGGCAAGGGGACCTAGGAGGTTGGGTTGAGGGCTGCGAGGGATGGGGGGAATGGGCGGCGTTGTATCTAGGGGGGATGGCGGCGCCCAGTGCAGAGTGCTGCAGCAGCAGCCTCAAAGAACGCAGAACTGTCCCTACCAAAATCCCTTAGAAGGAGAGAACTCGGACGAGCACAAAAACACAAATAGATAAAAGCGGCATCCGGCACCCCGCCGACCGCAACTTGCTTTTGCAACCCACTTTGGAGACCCCTCCCCAGCGGGAGCTGTGCTATCTAAGGTGAGATACTTTCACTTCTTAGAGTAAGACACTTCACTTTTACTTCTAGCAAGCTCTGGCTTGCCCACTGCCCGCCTTTTTTCCTGCTTTCCACGCGGGCATCCAGTTACTTCAATTATCATGGTAGCTCTATCAGACACAATGCAATTCATTTTCCTGCTTCTAGTGTACTGGTAACAAAACATAAAAACATGTGGGGAGGGGAGCTGAGGTAGCTGCGGCGTGCCAGTGTGTTCGAAAACTCAGTGACCCTTTCTGCCTCCTACCTGCCATTCCTTTAGTTGTGCGGCAAATTTAGTCGCGTTCCTCTAGTTTAAATTTCTGCCCATTCGAAATTCACTTCAAACATGCTCAACTTGGCCAACGCGCATGCGCCCACGCAGGTTACGTCGTGACGTCACGGCGCGGGCGTGGTCCGAATACGCAAGTCGGGAGGGCGGAGTAGCCGGTGCGGCTTGGGGCTGGCGGGGTGCCCGGGCTGGGTCGCCGGAGGGGGGGCCGGGGCACCCCCTCTCTGCGGCTGCCTCCGTTTGCACCCTAGGCTGTGCTCTCCTGTAGTTGTCGCAGGCTGGATGCACTGTCAGCGGCGCGGGAGGTGGAACCCCCCTCGTTCAGGCTGTGCGGTGAACCCCAGAACCGTGTTCCCGCTGGGGCCTCAGTTTCAGCACTTCGCAGGAACTGGAAGTGCGGAATCGGCACTCGGGAGCTTGGAACAAGTGGAATCCCCGCGGTTCTCTTTTTGACTTTGGACAACTGAACACAGCACGGTGAGCGTTGGTTGCCCTTGGATCTGATAATGTCCGTCCCGTGGGGTGGTTGGGGGTGAACTGAAGTGCCCCGAAGTGGTTGTGTGAATACTTGGAAGCTACTGAGAGGCCCTCGCGAAATACTGATTCCTGGGTGCGGCCTAGGATTCTTCACATTAGAGAAACAGCCTGCTTTGAGCTCAGACCCTCATGGTTGATGTTTTCTGGCCCACTAACAGAGCTAGAATTTTTGTTGCTTCCATTTTCTGTGTGAGAAATCGGACTCATGGAGGCGCATCATTTTCCAGAGTCACACAGCTTTTCCCTCTGTGTTTCCATTCTGGGACTTTGTGACAAGTAACAATCCCAGGAACTGGGGGGCACTGTGACCCAGGACAACCCCAAGAGGCCACCAGTCAACAAAAGACAATGTAGAGGACTCAGTTAGCCCATGTTGCCTGACTCCCTGAGCTAGTATAGCAGCAACCCATGTGGGTCCCCTCTCTGAAAAGAGCTTTTGCTTTGATTGTCTTAACAGTAAAATTTTATCACTGAACTTTTGGTCTCGGTCTCGGTGTCGAATTCTTCCCATGTTTCAGACAAGGACCGAGGAGGACTGGCCTCTGGCAGACTCCTCCTGGATCACTAGCAATGTCTTGGGAGAAGTAACACAATTTTTAAATTTAATTTTTTTTTTTTTTACTTAAAAAGTTACTCACGGCCCTCCCTGGTGGCGCAGCGGGTTAAAGCACTGCACTAAGAAGCTAAAGCCACTTCTGCATAAGTTCGATTCCCGCCTGCCCCGGAGGCTACCACATGGCGTGGCAGACCTCTCCTGACCCCCCGCTGCTCCCCTCAGCAGTGTCCTTCATCGATCTGCCTGTTCTGCTCCCCACTCTGTCTCTGGTGAATTCTCTCACCCTCCACATCTCTGGCCTGTAACCCAGTTCTGTACAAATAAATAAATCTTTGAAAAAAATTAAAAAGTTACTCACATAGTAAGCAAATCAGAAGAGATGTCAAATGAAATTCTACCTACACTGATTACCTAGTTTCTCTTAAACCAGGTTAACACTCTGTTTCTATTGTGTTCTTGATGAGATTAATGAGTAGCTAACCGATAACACCAAGATAAAAATATTATATACCATTTTGAATACAGTCATTCTTGCACTGCTTTTTTTAATTATAAACACGTTTTACATATCATTCCATTTCAGTACATTTTGGACTCACACATTCTTTCATAAGTTCAATCAACCTCCTTTGTGTGATGGATCCTCTAGGAGATTTTCAAGCATCAGAGAAACAGTCCTTATTGCTTGATGTTTGGTTTCTATTTTAAAAGCAAATCTGCAATGAGTATTCATTGGTGCCCGGTAATTCTCATACCAGCAATCTGTCTGCACAGTCATCCTAGACTGGAACTCCCGAGTCAAAAGGGGAGTCTGTACTATTGTAACAGGGTGGTCCCCAGGAAAAGGGGAAGTTCGAGTTTCCCTGCCCCACTCAGAAAGAGGGTGGAGCTGAGCAGAGAAGCAATCTGAAGAAGAAGGAAGCAGGATGGAGAGCTCAAGGAGACCTGAAGGAGCCACATGGAGCAGGGAGAAACCGTGCTTGTTTCTTGGCCCTGGGCTGGTTGAAACAGACGTGGGTGAGAGACCTGTGGGGGAGGTTGGCTATGGCAGCTTTTATCTTAATTCTGACTGTGCTCTTTTCCTCCCAGACTTTTCTGGACATTTCTGGTCCTGTCCAGAAGGCCAGAAGGTGCTTTAGCCTTGTGATGGGCTTTCTGGCTTTGCTTTGGACCGGTCCCTTTTGGGTGGACTTTTACCCAAGAGGGAATGGGTGACTTCAGGTGTTTGGTTTAGAAATTATATTCTTTGTCTTCTGTATTGCATACTCATCATATTAAAGTTCCTTTCCATGAAAGCTCTTATGTCTTGTCTCAATGTGGCGGCTGGGAGAACCGATTTAGAGTGGGCAGGTTTGGGGGTTCAGTGGTGCCTCTCTTCCTGCCCTATAACAGTATTTGATACACACACTTGAACAGTTGTTCTGACTACTGGAAATGTGGGAGAAAAGAACATGGGAAGACTGGGGGATGAGAGCCGCTCCCTGAGGGTGGCAGGGTGGAGATGATGACAGGTGCCTGTGTCAGCTCAGGCTGTGGGTCACCAGGTTTGGCCCAGGACGATGTACTGTTAGTTATTTATTTTCCTACACTTTTTTTGTTTTTTAACACATAGTGTAACATTATTATAAACTTTATAACAAAGGTCACTTTCTGCAATCTTAACAAGTGTGACAAAATCCAGTGAGGTTTTCTCTGTGAATCAGCACAAGTGGGATGAAAGCTGCATAACCAAGTCCTAGAATTTCTAGGACATTTAATGCCATCAATCTATTATCAAAGTAGGAATTGAGATATAAAGTAACAACACCTTCTGTCCAGTAAAAGAGAAGAAAGCAAAGCATCAGAAGGAGAACACTCTGCGCGGCTCTCTCCTCAGGAGTGTGGTAGAGCAGTCTGGAGCAGGGCAGGTGGAGCACGTGTTTGTGATGCTCCCGCTGGAGAAACCCTGCGCCCATGAGCATCAGGAGCAGGGTGTCTCTCAGGGCCATGAGGGTCAGAAACAGCCACTTGGTCACCTGATTCTCTGCCACGAAAGCACGGTAGCTGTCACTTGCATCGACATCTGACTTGTTTAAGCTGCTGCTGTTTCTGAGATAATAAAACAAATTCATGCTTATGAAGGAATTGAGTATCCAAAAGAAGGGGACCACGGGGAGAATGTTCCAGACGGACCCCGGCTTGAATCTCACCCACACGGAGCCTCTGGGACTCATGGTGCTGACTTGGACCACAGTGAGGAGACCACTGGTGCAGATTGAAAGATCCAGTGCCACCCACTCCAGCCACACAACCAGCTGACAGCCTAAGTCACCCAGGAAGTTTCTCAAACCAAAAACAGCTGTTGTCTTGGAAATGATCTTGCAAAAAAGGATGATGATATTCGTAAAGGCCAAGTGCATGAGGACCAGATACGTAGATTTCTTCTTAGTGCCCCCAAAGAAAATGAACATATAATTCACTAAGACAAAGACATTCCCCACAATGCCAGGTCAGGCTACAAAGAGGAATATTGTTCCCTTAACAATAATAACAAATCATTCCTTACTTCGTGGGCAGAAGAACTTGGGATCCAACAAGCACCTTTCGGAGAGAGCAACAATAATAATGATATGTATCTGTAAAAAAGATGTGGTATCATAGGTTTTTCTGTATACACTAGGCTGAGGGAAATAAATTACGTAACAGAGAAGAGAATTATTTTCTACTATTACGGAAGAACTGAAGAGTCAATTCCTTTGCCCTTCAACTCCTGTGAGAAATTCTATGTAATTGAAATGCTATTGTCAAGATGAATACACTATAACACAACTTTACAAGATTGTCCCCCTGTACCCCACGTTTGGAAAACCAAATTATCTGTCCAAGTATTTTCATAGTTTACATAGGTTCAATTTCTCTAAATGCTGAATTGAAGCAAAAATTACCTAACGTGAATGTCTCTATGTGTCTCTACTTTACTGTATGAAATTGCCACCATCACTCATTATATATTAAATATTGACCAGTAGACGACCTCCTGACTCTTCTCTGACTCAGATTCATATATCTGTGATCCAAACAATCTCATATTCTCATAGTTGTCTTTTGAAATTCAAACATTTTCTGTGAGTGCATTTCTATAAACTTTCATCAGCTTTCTCTGTTTACGAGTTCAATTCAACTTCTACTTTTAAAGACATTTGCATACAAGAGCTGGGGTGTCAGCCAGAAGTAAAGGAAGGTGAGAGGATTCATCAGAGACAGAGTGGGGAACAGAATAGGCAGACTGAAAGAAGCACGCTGCTGAGGGGAGCAGCGGGGGGACAGGAGAGGTCTGTTGGGCCCTGTGGGTCAGCTCTCTGGCCAGTGATCACACTCATGTCACAGTGACTGTGGCAGCTGGCAACTCCCTGGTGCTGAGATTTCACCCCTTGCACCAACAGGGAGCCCCTAGGAACCCAACTTTTAAACCCCAATCAATAAAAAACTAGAGGCAAGCCTGTGAGCTGAACACTGGGCTGCACTGGCAGGGTGCAGCCTGAGGAGGGTGTGGAGGGGGCCCTGCAGTGCTCCACCTGGGGGGTATGATCACTCTAAGAATCTGAGGGGACACTAAGGGAATCCTGGCTCAACTCAGGATTTGTGGATGTTTCCCCCAGCAGAATTAGGAGAAACTGATTAAGTAGGCCTAGATGTTGTCAGAGACACGTTTATCAATTAGGATCTCCAATAATGGCTGGGTGCAGCTAGTGGATTGGGGCCACTTTGGTAAAAAAACAAACAGACAAGTGGTCACTGCAGGGAGGGTGATGATGGCCATTTGCAGCTTCTTAGTGTCTGGGGAGAGCAAGGCTTTCAGGCTATTCAGCAGCCAGCTGGGCCTGTCTGCTCCAACCTGGTGCTCAACATCTTCCCAACCCCAGGAACATAATATTTTAAAAATCAGAAGAGTTAAGATGCTGGGAGGACAGACCCCAGGGCAGGGGATAAGAGAAGCAGGATAATCCAGGAAGGGGTGCTGTATGGCCCCAGCTAGGAAGCCACGCAGGCTGGCTACTCACCTGGAGTCGCTGAGCGCAGGTTCCTTGGGAGTCCTGAGGGCAGGTGAACCCCTGCGCCCCATTTGTACCTGCTAGGTTTGCTCAGCTCTTGCCAGTCACAAGCCACACAGGGCTTCACAGTTGTCACCTGCAGGGAGAAGGAACCCATTACAGACTTAAGTCCCCAAGTACAACTTCCCTCCCCCTCCACAATTACAAGAGGTGGACTCTGGACTTGTCTCAGTCTTAATTAGGGTTTAATTATATTGATGACCTGAGGTGCAGAGAGAAGAGTCTAGAGAACAACAAGTCTAGATTCTGGACCTAGCATTCCCCATCGTCTTCACTTTCCCGAAGCCCCCAGGCTTGGATTAGAATTGGGGCCTTTTCTGAGATATGGAGGAAGTCACTCTCCTCCCTTTCTTGAGGCCTTTCCATGCTCAGACACAGTGGTGCCTGGTGCCGGGACTCTGCCCTGATCAGGGCTGCGCCTGAGTCTGGAGAGAAGCAGAGGCCTCACTCTGCCGTGCAATGGGGGTTCAGGGGAGGGGACGTGACTTTCCCTTGTCACTCAGAGTTGAGATATGGGGCCCTGTACTCAAATTTACCGAGAAGGGTAGCAAGTGTGTTCCTTGCTATGGAGATGTCAGATCTTCTAGACCTTTATGGTAGACAGGGGTAGAATCTGCATATAACATTTTAGGCTGACAATATATGTCTGAATTCATTCCAATACTTTCAATTGGAATGAAAGATTTTATTTTCTTTAATATTTTAAATACATTTCATCTTTGTCTTTAACATCTTTCATAATATTTTAATCTATTTGGATGTCTTTTTTAAAGATTTATTTCTATATACAAGAGCTTGGGTACAGACTAGAGGTGTGGGGGGTGTGAAAAGATTCACCGGAGACAGAGTGGGGAACAGAATAGACAGATTGACAGAAGTACATTGCTGAGGGGGCAGTGGCGAGATAGGAGAGGTCTGCCACGCCCTGTGGGTCACCTCCCTGGCTGGGAATCCAACTCCTGCCGCACTGGCTGTGAGTAGCTTTAGAGTGCTGTGCTGTTGCCACTGGGGGGGCCCGTATTTTCATGCTTTGTCTTCACAATGCTTATGTAGGTTTCATGGACGTAGGTACTTCTATATTTTGTCATCTGCATCCAATTAATAAGGATACCATTACCAGTTTCAGATAACTTAGAGATTCCATTTGTCCACAGATATCCCACTTGAAATGTACTATATAGAGGTGCCCCTCACCTCCTTTAAGAGAAATACAAGTCAAAACCATAGGGTTTCACAGCTGTGAGAATGGATATTATACAAAAGACAAGAAGCAACAAGTGTTGAAGAGGACGTAAAGAGAAGGGAACCACTGCGTCTGTGGATGGGGATGTAGATTATTGAAGTCATTCTGGAAAGCAGTGTGGAGAGTCCTGACAAAACTAAATACAGAAACTGCACATGACACAGTTAGCTATACCACTTAGCCCAAAATGCAAAGACATAATGGAAAGGTATTTGCACCCTGGGACCTCTCTGGTGGCCCAGGGGGTTAACTGCAACATTATTTACAAAGGACAAGAATTTGGGAAAAAAAAATACACAATATACATTGATGGATCAATGGATGAACAAAATAAGTTTATGTACATGGCATATTCAGCTATAAAGAAATACAAAACCCTCTGTTTTTAACAACCTGAATAGAGAGAGAGAATTGAGCTTAAGTGAATAGGCTAGACACTCATATGTGTTAAATATATAATAGAAGCCGGTGATGGAACTAATTAAATCAAAATTCATCTTTCAAAATGTAAGACTAGATACTGGTCCCAGAAAGGAGAGTGGAAGTGTTTGAGAAATAGGTATCAATGATGTTGGGAGGAATGGATTTGGGTTTTTGGCCATGAACCTAATGAAGTGTATACACAGGTTTATCCTCAATGATGAAAACGTGAAACGTGTATGAGGCTGTAATGCAGTGTTACCTCAATTAAAAGGGAATAAAGGGGGGAAAAAGCAAAATGTTTTATACCTAAAGTCATTTGAAATAACTTGTTTTGGCATAAACATAAAATGGGCCTCATTATTTCTTCCTATTTGTTTGATTTGTAATTTCTTGTTCAAATTTTGACCTTTACTGAGAGGCTACATTGCTAAATCTTTCCCATATTCTTACCTTTTATCTGCAACCATTTTTATTGGGACCTGAGAGGATTCATGGGAGACAGAGTGGAGAGCAGAACAGGCAGACAGACCACAATACACTGCAAAGGGGAGCAGTGTCAAGACAAGAGAAGTCTGCTGCGCCCTGTGTGTCACTTCCTGACTTGGGATCGAATTCGTGCTGTAGTGGTGGTGGATTGCTTCCTTGTGCTGTGCTTTAGCCACTTGCACCACCAGGGAGGGCCCTGCAAACAACATTTTGAAAAATAATTTTGATGGATGTTTCTCTCTATTGAAAAAATACAGGTAGATACAGAAAGTACTCATGTATCCTTATATTCTTTCAATACAAACCAACATATTCTCACCAATTATGTGAGCAGGGACATAACAGCTACATGACAGGATTGGTGGAACTAGGAAGGAAGACCCTGTCCCATTCCCTGGGTCTACCGAAGTTGTTTTAGGGTGCCCAGGACCAGGACTTTCCTTAATGAAAGCATAAAAGTATCCTTAAAAGTTTTGATTTATTGGCTCCTTTGATGCACAACTCCTAACATGAATATCCCCCTCTTTCTGGAGGAGTGGATGTAAAAGGAATTCCCCTCCAGTCACTGCGCTGGCCAGCATTTAGCCACGTGGACATGCCTGCTCAGGAGCACTAAAGGGCAGAGGCTCGCATAACCAGAGGTCAGATATATTTTAATACGGTAAACTGTGTAGTTATTTGGTAACAAAGAGCCAGTGTAGAAGGAGAAAAGGAAATCTGCCCAATAGAAGAAAAGGAAGCAGGCCATGAGCATGAGGATACTCTGAGTAGCTCTCGTCTCCGGACTGGCATTTCCTGGCAGCCTGGACGTGTGCAGGTGGAGGACGCGCTTACGGTGCTGACACAGGCGGAAGGCCATGTAGCTGCTGCTCCAGCCCATCAGCCCCTGAAACACGACATCCCGCACAGCCATCAGCATGAGGAAAAGCCACCTCACTGTTTGCCCAGAGGGGAGCATGTCACAATATTCGATATATGGTCTCAGTTTGGAGCTGTTGGTGCTCTGGACTGTGGTGATGTAGAGGAGCAGGTTAGAGCTGACCAGGACATTGAAGACCCAGAAGAGCAGGAGACAGGGAAGCACTTGCCATGCAGACCTGGGCTGGAGCTTTTTGAAGGGCGAGGTCTGGGGGCTGATGGTGATGGCCTGGACCACGCTGAGGAGACAGGTGGTGCAGATTGAGAGGCCCCGGGCCACCCTCCTCAGAAAAATCAAAATTTTACAGCCAATATCACTTAGAAAATCTTGGGATTTCAAAATTGTGATGATATCAATGATTGCGTTGGTGCAAATGAGTGCATTTGCAAAAAACAAGTGGATATGGATGAGCTCAATGGGTTTTTTCTCAGGACTCATGATAAAAGTGTATAAATGTCCCCCTAATAAGAATAAATTGCCCATAATCCCATGTCCAAGAACGGAAAAGAAGAGTAATCCCTGGATGACGGTGCTCCAGAGCATCTGACTTCATGAACAGAACTAGGAGAAACGTTGAGAAGCATAAGTAAGTTAAAATGACATATTTTTGGTCTCTGCCCTTTTTTTCTGACAGGACAGTTTCAACGCTAATAAGTGAGAGGGCACCTGCTTTTGTGGTTGTGTGTGTTTGATATTAATCTTTGCTCTCTTCTTTTCTCCCACTCCTGGTGACACAATGGTGGTGTTAGTTACACTTTAACCACCCCTCCCCCTCCCAGAGATCGCTCACAAGTGCCACACTGGTGCGTCCACCTGTCAATCCAGAGGTCCTTCTCTGTACCCTTCATGGCTGAAGTGTTGAGGGCATTATTCTCAGTGTTTAAGCCAAGAACAGTATTTCCTGTTTGTTTTTCAGAAACCACGCTGTGGATCAGCCCACAGCCCTCCTCCTCCTCCACTTCTCATCCTGTGAATTACCCCCAGGGGTGGATTTTGCTGGTGCTTTTCCCACCATCTCTACATAATCCTGACACATTCCTCAGGCACTTTGCATGTTTGGCTAGAAAGAATTGCTAGTGGCCCTCCTTGGTGGCGCAGAGGGTCAAAGCACAGCACTAAGAAGCTTAAGCCACTTACGCATGAGTTCGATCCCCGCCTGCCTCGGAGGTGACCACATGGCTCGGCGGACCTCTCCTGACCCGCCCTCTGCTCCCCTCAGCTTCGTTGATCTGCCTGTTCTGCTCCCTACTCTGTCTCTGGTGAACCCTCTCACCCTCCGCACCTCTGGTCTGTACCTCAGTTCTGTACCTCAGTTCTGTATGAATAAATAAAATCTTTAAAAAAAAAAAAAAGAAAGAGTTGCTAGAATAGGACTTGGCTAAGAGAGGAGTTTCACAGAGGAAATTATGTGACGCGCCTCTCCCCTAACATGTAACAGCAAAGTCCCACATCCTCTCTACCCCTTATCTGTGTAGGTCCTGGGGCTGATGGTGATGACCTGGACCATGCTGAGGAGACAGGTGGTGCAGATGGAGAGGCCACGGGCTATCCTCCCCATATAAATCAGAATTTTACAACAAAATCTCTTAGAAAATTCCGGAAACCTTCTACTCCATCCAAACAAATGGGCAGAAACTCCTGCCACTGAGGGGCTCTTGGTCCTGTTCACGTCCTTTCAGAGCTAACAGCATCCCCGTCACGCACCAGCTTAGAATGTTATGTGACATCTTCCCAGAGATCCTCCGGCCTGTCCTCATGGCCTCCGGACCCGACTCCTCCCTCTTGCAGTGGACGCCTGGGAAGAGGCTCCCCTTCTGTCCAGTATCTGAGCGACCAGCATAGAGCCTGCTACCAATTAAATGTTCAAAACGCTTGCGAATAACTTTAAACGAGGCATGTGGTTCTGCATGTAAATCTACATGCGAATCACAGAGATGAGTTTGTAAGGCAACCTGGAGAGATACTTGAGTTGGTGTATGCTTTGTGAAGAGGGTAATAATTGAATGACTCTGAGAAGTGAATCCACATGGGCTGACACACTTAGTGGGACTTTACAGTGTCACTCATGTGAAAATGTTGAACTTTAATCGCTCCCTTGATTCAGTGAATGACATAGACTTTCCTTTGTAAGGTTTACCTTTCTGAGATTTACAACTTATGGGAAGTTTCCACTCTCCAGATCTCAGTATTTATCTGTTGAGCTGAGTTTTCTTCAGCTGTTCTGTGAGGCAATAGGAAGAGATTTTGAAAAAGGCATTGGTCTTTGATTTCCTGAATACATGACAAAAAGCTTTACACTTAAAATTTACATTGAGCACTTACCTGAGGCATGTACAAACAGGTACATGTGTGCACATTCATTCTTAGTAAGTATATATGTGTATATCCACTCTTAATTCATTCTGAGTAAGTGTCACAAGCTCTACTTCGAGCAACTCAGCATAAACATAGTCAAGTCAGGGTTTTCATTACAAAGTGGTGGGAGGTGTGTGTGCATTTTCTAGATGCTTGAGCAAAATCATGCTACAGGGCAAGGCAGAGGTACCCCAGTACCCCAAAATGGGGGTCTCTTAAAGGGTGCTTCCATCTATCCACTGCATCAAGATAAAACATACTCTAGTGCGTAAGAGCTTTCTTAAAAAGGAAGCAACTTTATACAAGTAGCGTGCAATGGAGAGAATGGGGAGAATAAAGTTCCAAATCAGCTCCCAAGTTACCCATCCCTCATGGGTAAATGCTTGCGAACAGGCGTGGCCCAAAGCAGGCCAGTGGGGCTGACCCTGCCACGAGCCTAAGGCACCTCCAGGGGGACCCAGAGGAAAGGGACAGAAGGGGACTGGCACATCTGGGCAGAAGGGGCAGAATCAAGTCAAGATAAAAGCTGCCACCGTTAACCTCCCCCCGGGTCTCTCACGCACATCTTTGAACCAGTCAGAGACCAAGAAGCAAGTGCGGCGACTTCCCATGTCTCTCTGCCCCACGAGCCTCCCCCTCCAGGTCCCCTAATATGCTACTTAGGTGCATGTCTAGCAGGCCCTGAAGAATCACGTTTTGTAAAAGGTCACCATTAATTAAACCATGATGTGAAACACTGGTGCTTTTTAATTCTCTAGAATTAAATGACCATGCTATATTTTGAGAGCGGGAAAGAAAACATCAGAATAAATAAAATCTTGATGAAGACATACGTGCCTATTCGTGCCTATAAAGGACAACAGAAGAGACACTTGGCTTCAGTAAACCCCCAGCGGGAGGGGGCTGGGGGCCCCACACCTGGTGAAACACTTCAGATCTGCTGCCCCTTCCACCCCCCACCTGAGTGCAGGGGCAGCTCGCACACGCAGCAAACACCCCACCCACCACAGCTCCTGGAGCAGCAGAGAGAGGCAGAGGCTCTGGGCAGCTGGAAGGACAGTCTGTCCTCCCCGGTCCTGCCACCCTCCTCCCCGAGTGCCCCAGTGCAGCCTGCAGCCCTGCCACAGCAGCCTCCTCCCACAAAGGTGGCCCCTGCAGACCTCAGGGACACTCACCTGGCAGCGGATAGCAGGGCTCTGGCCGGGTCTGCACAGCAGCGGCACCAGGACCTTTATGCTCCCAGGCCCAGGCTCAGCCTCACCTGCCTGCTGTCAGGGCGTCAGCGTCACCCGTGGGGCCTGGCCGGCCGCAGGGCCCTGGTGCATAACACTTTCTAATTGCTCAGCCCACAGCACCTCATCCCAGTGACAGCAAAAGTGGGGGATGAGTGGGAGGCGGGGAAGGAGGACAGTTCCCCAAGCTCAGCTGGTGGGGAATCCAGGTTCAATCCCACTCACCGGCACAGCTCAGGAACAATCCAGAAGAATCTTCAGCATGTCACAAGTGTATCACTTGCAGAGAATTTGAAACTCTACTCATAGTAAAAGGCCACTGAGTGTCAAGTTGAGGATTCAGGTTACCTTTGAAATGTAGCGCCAGAACTGAGTATTCAGAGGCTGTGAGCTGAGGACAGCAGAGGGGAATAAGGATTCAACGTGTTTCAGTGACTATCGAATAGACATGGGGGATCCCCCCAGCCAAAACCTAGATTTTGCCAGTGAACAAGTGCCTTGATATAATTGATTTGACTGACGGTGTCACAAATTTCCTTGGCTGCATAATAACACATTTCAGGAGTGAGTCATAAATAACTAAAGGAAACCTTTCTAGTTTTGGAAATTATTCTTTTATTATTCGTATTTTAGCCTCCTGTGTTGGTATGGAAGGAACATTCGGAAGGTACACATTTTCGTATCTTCTTCTTTGATCATTTTTGGATCTTGATGACAAAGTTACAGAAGAAGAAATCAAGATATATCTCCTCATATTTATCTTCTTAATAAAAATTACACATGAAAGGGCTGCTAGGTGAGTATCCTCTGTCACCACCACTTGGGGCTAAAATGCCTTGTGGATGGTGCCTGAGCTGTTCTGCTGTGGTGTCGCTGGTGGGGGGAGCTTCCAAGGCTGATGTCCAGGGCTGCTGTGGAGGGCAGATTTCTGTAGAGCTTTAACTTGATTAAACCCCTCCAGGCACCAGAAAGTCAGCTCGACAGCACTTGGAGTCTTGTGGAAGTTTGTCACAGTGTCTCTCCACAGAACAGGAAGGTGCCAGTCTCCATAACCCACTTAAGGAAAGGTGGAGCTGGGCAGGGAGAAGATTTGGAGGGCGCCTTGGGGTCTGAGACCCGTGAACAAGGCCTCCCTGCTTCTCGGCCTTGGGCATGCAGCAGGGACTTGGGGGACATGGAAAGAGATACATGGAGGTGACACATGTAGACACATTTGGAGAGTCGTGGGTGAGAGACACATCGGGAGCACAATGGCAGCTTTAACTTGATTTCTATTATTTTTAAAAAAGATTGATTCAGGGCCCTCCCTGGTGGCACAGTGGGTTAAAGCACAGCACTAAGAAGCTTAATCACTTCAGCATGAGTTCGAGCCCCACCCTGGAGGTGACCCACGCAGCACGGCAGACCTCTCCTGCTCCCCTCAGCAATGTACTTGTCAGCCGGCATGTTTTCCTCCCCAGTCTGTCTCTAGTGAGTCCTCTCGCCCCCTCACCTCTAGCCTGTACCCCAGTTTTGTGTGCACAGATAAATAAATCTTAAAAAAAAAGATTTATCCATTTATACATTTTAGAGCTGGGGTACAGGCCACAGGTGAGGGGGTGAGAGGCTTCACCAGAGATAGAGTGGGGAGCAGAACAGGCAGATCTATGAAGTACACTCCGAGGGGAACAGCGGGTGAGACAGAAGTGGTCCGATGTGCCATGTGGGTCACTTCCCTGGTCAGGGATAGAACTCACTGACTGAAGTGACTACAGCCAGCTTCACAGTCTGGGCCTTAACCTGCAACACCATGAGGGAGGCCCCTGTACCTCAGTTCTTGTATGGATAAATAAATAAATCTTTAAAAAATTAGGTAGGACCTCAGAGAAGCTCCTGAGATACCCCATGGATCCTGTCCTTTTACATTAGACAATTGGATACATTTGCATAGAGTTGGTGACTTCATGGTATTAATGTTGGTATTAAAGGGTTTGCTTGTCAATCTGGGAGTTATTGTCCTGAACTGTTATATCAACTATGTCCAATATGGGTTATTTCAAAATGTAGCATCTTCTGACATTGTCTCGGAAAACACCCACGGGAAAGAGAGCTCAAATTGGTCTGAGACCAGAGTGGATGGCGCTGCTGTCCTGGACAAGGGGTGGCGGAGCCCGGGCCTGTGGGCCCCTGCAGGGGGAGCCGCAGACCTTGCAGCTCCTAGACAGGTATTTGAGTTGATGTATGTTTCATTAAGTGTAATAATTAAAAGTCTGGTAGAGGTCAATCCACATTGGGTGACATTTTTAGTAGGACACTACAGCTTCATTCATATGATGATGCTGGAAGTTCAATCCCTCCATGACTGGAGGAAACATAAAGTTCTGTGGTTGGGAATGCAAATTGGTGCAGCTATTATGGAAAGCAGCTTGAAGATTCTTGAAAATGTTCAAAGTCGAAAGTGCCATACCTTGACTTATCCCAGCTCGAATCTTTGAAACTTAAAATACTATGACAGGGCGTCTCTGGTGTTGCAAGGGGTTGAGACTCAGCACTCTCAAGCTGTCTCAGCCACTGCAGGAAGGTATAAATGAGGAAGATTCAGACAAAGGTGTGATGAAGGACACCTTTTAATGATGAACAATGTAGTATTTACCCATGTAGTTTCTCAACAGTGAATGCCTGAAACTGATGTAGTCATGATGTAATGCTGCTTTCATCAAAAGATAAAGAAGAAGAATGCAAAAACAACCAGTAAGAAAATGCTATGCTAGGTCATTTGCATTAATTCTTTTTGTGGCTTTGACAGCAATTAACATACAATTAGCTGGGTTTGTTTCTTTCCATTACCCTTACATTTGAATATTGCAATGCTTTCAGCATTTAAGTGAAAATTCTACATATTATAAAAAATGATTTTAAAGTGAAAATTGTAAAAGTAAGCTTGTTCTGTGATCCTGGATCTCTCCCTCAGGCTCATGTTCTCATGCTGCTGCATAGAAAACATTTTGAAAAAGAATTTTGACTTCCCTTTCCTTTATTAGGAAAATAAGGCATATACATAAGGGTAATCGTAATTTCAAATGATCCTTTCAAATATAAACCAACACATTCCCAGTATTTGTTCAAGCAAGGACACCACAGTACAAGACACGCTCAGTGGGGTGGGAGGCCAGAGAAACTGTCTTCATCACCTCCTGGGAGTCCAGACACAGCATAGGATTGCCTCGTTCTAGGACCCTCTTAGGACCAAACAAAAAGATTTATTTATATAAAGTTTGACTAGTGTGATGGTTTCATACATGAAGGCAAGGAACCCCTCAAACTTCCATCGTCTTGGTTCCTGGAATGAGCACCCCAGCACTTAGTCACGCAGACATCCCTGCTCAGCAGCACTAAGGGGCTGAGACTCGCATAACCAGAGGTGAGAAATATTTTAATACGGTAAATTATGTAGCTATTTGTCAAGAATGTGCCAATGTAGAAGGAGAAAAGGAAATCTGCCCAAGAGAAGAAAAGGAAGCAGGCCATGAGCATGAGGATACTCTGAGTAGCTCTCATCTCCGGGCTGGCATTTCCTGGCAGCCTGGACGTGTGCAGGTGGAGGATGCGCTTATGGTGTTGACACAAGCGAAAGGCCATGTAGCTGCTGCTCCAGCCCATCAGCCCCTGAAACACGACGTCCCGCACAGCCATCAGCATGAGGAAAAGCCACCTCACTGTTTGCCCAGAGGGGAGCAAGTCACAGTATTGAATATATGGTTTCAGTTCGGAGCTGTTGGAGCTCTGGACTGTGGTGATGTAGAGGAGCAGGTTAGAGCTGACCAAGACATTGAAGACCCAAAAGAGCAGGAGACAGAGAAGCACTTGCCTTGCAGACCTGGGCTGGAGCTTTCTGCAGGGCGAGGTCTGGGGGCTGATGGTGATGGCCTGGACCACGCTGAGGAGACAGGTGGTGCAGATGGAGAGGCCGCGGGCCACCCTCCCCATGTAAATCACCACTTTGCAACCAGTAGTACCTAGGATGTTTCCCAGAGATGTGCTCACATCTCTTCTTCCCTGGGTACAAATAATGATTGTATTTGCAAAAGCCAAGTGGATGAGGAGGAGGTCGATAGGTTTCCTCTCAGGCCCCATGATGAAAGGATACAAACGTCGCCCTAGTATAAGGATATTGCCCACCATTCCATGTCCAATGAAACCAAGGAAGAGTGCTCCCTGGAGGAGGGTGCTCCAAGTCATCTGACTTCATGAACAGAACTAGGAGAAAGTTTGAGATGAAAATAAGTAAAGATGACAAATTTCAGGGTGTGACATCCCGACTGCTCTAGTGACACCCATAGTCTCAGTCTGTAGGAAATCCATGAGATTTCCCTCTCTCTGCTCTTTGTTCCTCTTTCCCCTGCTTCAGGCCACACCAGTGGTGACAGTGACAATGAAACCCCTGCCATGAAGGCCACACTGAGTCTGCCTGCCTTTCCAAAGGCCCTTCTCTGTGTCATGACTATCATGTCAAGAACATGGCTTATTCTTCCCTGGGGGCAGTAGCCAGCCCAGGGCAGGCCCGCAAGGCTCCCGAAGCTGTAAAGCAACCAACCCAGAGGCCTCCTTCTCCCTCACTCCCCGGGCCCTCTGGCAAATGTCCTCACTGTCATGGATGTGTTGGTACCCACCCCTCCTCTCGGCAGGGCTCATCTTCGGACCTTTGGATTTAAGATTAAAAAGGGGTGGCAGTTTCCCCAATGAGCTGTATTTAAGTAAATGTACAAAGTAAATTTCACAGTGGATCTTACATGACTTAGCTATTCAATCCTCTAACTCCATTATAGACGACTTCACCCACTCTCCTAATCAGGAAGCGCTAACTCTGTGGTAAATCTGCATCCTGATATTCCATGGGGTTGGGTCAGCGTGCAGCGATGATTTCTCTCCTCTTTCCTAGTAAATTCTGCACTTCTTCATCCCTGTCTCTGGTTCTTCCACCCATTGGACTCTACCTCTTGAGCTATATCAAATCTAGGGACTTTTTTTCAGTCAGGAGAGCCTCACTCTTTTGGTCAAGACTCCCTAATGTCTCCCACTGTGACTTGCAACCAGTTTGTTAATAGTGGCATTGTTCTAATTATTCTCTCGTACTATAATCAGGATGACCTTGGGAACATCCGTTTTATTTCTCTCAAACCATATGTAGCTTCTCCTGTCAATCATAAACCTCAACATATTTGCCTCCAGCTCTCCCCTCCTTCTCAGTTATGTCTTTATCACCTCCAACTTCCCCCAAACGTGCAGAAATTCCCGATGCCCTTGCCCCAGCGATGGCCTTCAGAGCTAACCACTGCCGCCTCACGCACCAGCTTAGAACGCTATTGCATGGTGTGGTCTGAAAACCTGGGGCCTGTCCCCACGGCCTGAGTCCTGTGTCCTCCCTGACTCAGCAGTGGGGCTCAAGGAGAGCCTCCTCTGCTGCACAGTGTCTGAAAGACCTGCCATAGTACCTGCTATTAAATGCTCAAAAATAGAATGTGAATACATTATTCAATGAGGCATGCGGTTGTGGTTGAAAGCTGGAAATTGACTCAGATGAGAACACAAGCCAACCTGAGGCAACACTTGAATTGCTTTACGCCTCCCGTTGAAGAGCTTGCAGAAGCACATCCTTCTAATTACTAGACGAGCGAACTCCAACGCCTCCATTGGTTCAGTGTCCCTTGAGAGAATTAAAATGACAAAGATTTCCAGTACTCACTGATTCTGACCTGCTTCTTATTTTCTCAGCGATCTCTGGGTTTTAGGAGACACCAGCAAAGACTTTTGAAAAGGAATTAGCAAAGCTGGAATGCAAAAGCTATGGTCTTGGAGCTTTCTGACCATGTCGAAAGGGCGGTGGTTTGGGATTCCGAGTAAATTTTCTCAAACTCTTACTTCCAGTTTCGGAGAAAAAACAAGGTCTTTGTAAATGAGGTGAAATCAGGGGGTGATGCAGGAAATGGTGGGAGGGG